ACCTTTCCCGGCACACTGAGGAGTGAGATACCCCTGTAGCTGTTACAGTCTGTGCGGTCCTCCTTCTTAAAGAGGGGGGCCACCAGGGCATCCTTCCAATCCTGCGGAACCCGTCCAGTGGTCCAGACTGTTGTTATGATGTCATATAGGGCAGTCTGTGCACAAACGCCACCCTCCCTCAGCATTTCGCTTGGGAGATCATCTCTGCCCGCTGCCTTTCCTGGTCTCAGACTCCGGATCGCCCTCAGTACTTCCTCAACAGATGGCACCTCAGCCAGCCACTCACAGGGGGTGACTTCTTCCAATATTTGAGGCACCGCAGCCTCAGCAGGGTCATCCTCACTTTGTGCCACGATGTTTTCCTGGCTGAGGGGTTTCCCCTCCCCCAGGACCTCACAGAAATGCTCAGAAAATCTGTAAACCTTTTCCTGGGGGTCGGAGATTGGAGCACCGTTTTTTCCCCTAATGATGGTAATAGGTGTGGTGCTGCAGGTTACTTTTTTGATGGAGTAAAATAGCGATTTGTGATCGCGGGCCACTGAGGCAGACTCCATCTCCTCAGCAACCTGCGACCACCACCCATCCTTGCAGCGCCTCACGGCTCTCCTAACCTCCGAGCGAAGGCTGTGGTAAGCCTCCTCATTCTCGACGTGGGATTCTGTAGCCGATAACAATGGGCCTGTCGCTTTTTCTCAACTATCCTGAACACCTCCTCTGTCAGCCAGGGTCTCTGTGGAGGTCTGGACCATGTACCCAATGCAGCCATTGCAGCTGCATGAGTCACAGTCCTAAACCTCGCCCATTTACCGTGGACATCAGGAGGAGTGGGGGACGATGCCAACCCCAGCCGCATGCGATGATGAAATTCTCGCTTGCAACTTTCATCAGCTAACTGAGACCAGGCCACTTTAGGTTGGAATGGGGTCCTGGGTGTACACCCACCACCGGAGTGTAAGAATGGCAGGCGCATCTTACAGATGACTAGTCGATGGTCAGAGGGCAGATCAGCTCCATGGTAGGTCCTGGTGTCAAGGACATGGGCTCGCATCCTCTGGTCCGTCACTATGTAGTCCAGCAGATGTTCTTGCTTGGACCCGGCATGCATCCATGATGTTGTGTGGATGAGCCGATGCCGGAACAGCGTGTTGGTAATTACAAGCCCATGGGCTGCACAAAATCTAGCAGCCTCCTACCGTTGTTATTGAGCTGATCTGGCCCATGCCCTCCAATCACTCCAGACTAGGTGCCAGCATCATGACCAACTCGGGCATTGAAGTCACCCACAAGATGACTCTATCCCGAGGGGCCACTTTAGCCAGCACCTGTGACAGGAGGTCATAGAAGGCATCTGACTCATCGGCTTTGCCTGCATCCCTCCACGGATGTTCGTCTTCGGTGGGGGCATAAGTAACCACGTCCACCACTCCTCGCCTCCGGTTGATGGGAAGGCGAGCCCAAAGTAGCCTGGGGCTTACAGCTTCCCACACCTCACCGCCACGCTCCCACGCATCCTTCATTCTTTTGTTCAAAAGAAGAGCCACACCCTGTTGTTTGGCAGTCTGCTGCCCCGAGTAGAGGACTGTCCACCCCTCATGGTGGCAGGAGCCAGAACCGGTCCACCGGACCTCCTGAATGCCAGAGATCCAGGCGGTACCGGTCCAGCTCCTGACAGAGGAGTGGCAGCCTCTCCTCCGCAGTGAGCGTTTGAACATTCCACGTGGCCACACGAAGTGGCTTTTCGCTGTTTCTGGAGGAGCCCCGAGGGTAGAGATTCAATCTCCTGGCTCCGCCAATTGGGGTTTGGCCAGGAGATGTCATAGACGCCTGTCCCCCCGGGGCCTCCGGCACAAGCGTATTAGTTATATATTTAAGTCGTGGTTTCGTGGTAATGTTTTGAAGGTGGAGGGGTTACCAGCCCCTCGCACCCGTCCAGAGCCCCCGTTTAGCCACTGTGATCATAGACGCCATGAGGGGAGAGGCCAATCGGAATTGGCCCTCCCCCCACAGCACTGTCCACGACAGAATTGCCCGTCCGGCACCACGAGGAGGTAGGGGGTTGTTTTGCCAGACTCACACACACGCACGAGCACACACACACACACACGCAAACACACAAATATTCACTCAGGCACTGCGCAAACACTCGGGCACGCACACATTTTCGCACACACGCACGCGCGCGCGTACTCACAAAAACTCGCCAAGGCACTAACACGCACTCATTCCCGTGCACAGACGCGCACACACGCACGCGCGCGCGTACTCACAAAAACTCGCCAAGGCACTAACACGCACTCATTCCCGTGCACAGACGCGCACACACGCACGCGCGCGCGTACTCACAAAAACTCGCCAAGGCACTAACACGCACTCATTCCCGTGCACAGACGCGCACACACGCACGCGCGCGCGTACTCACAAAAACTCGCCAAGGCACTAACACGCACTCATTCCCGTGCACAGACGCGCACACACGCACGCGCGCGTACTCACAAAAACTCGCCAAGGCACTAACACGCACTCATTCCCGTGCACAGACGCGCACACACGCACGCGCGCGCGTACTCACAAAAACTCGCCAAGGCACTCACACGCACTCATTCCCGTGCACAGACGCGCACACACGCACGCGCGCGCGTACTCACAAAAACTCGCCAAGGCACTCACACGCACTCATTCCCGTGCACAGACGCGCACACACGCACGCGCGCGTACTCACAAAAACTCGCCAAGGCACTCACACGCACTCGTTCCCGTGCACAGACGCGCACACACGCACGCGCGCGCGTACTCACAAAAACTCGCCAAGGCACTCACACGCACTCATTCCCGTGCACAGACGCGCACACACGCACGCGCGCGCGTACTCACAAAAACTCGCCAAGGCACTCACACGCACTCATTCCCGTGCACAGACGCGCTCACACGCACAAAGACACTCGCTGATGCACACACACACACGCTCACGATCGCACAGAAACACTCATGCGCAGGCACATCCTCGCATACAAGAGGCTGTTAGAAAGTTTGGAGAACCGGATATAAACATTTCACATGCGCTGTGCATTTTTTTTATTACCATAGCGGCCTTTTACGTAAGCGGTGTTCGTCTATTAAATGATAAGCGGATGCCAGAAGCCACAAAATACACCAAATATTTTCCCGCTTGATGTGATTTTTTTTTACGCAGACCGTTTCATGTTTTAAACTTCCTGACCCAACCCTTACGTGTGTTAAAAAAAAGGATATTTTTACGAAAATAATGATTTCCGCGAAGAAAAAAAATGACATCTTACACTTTGCCGCGAGCCAGAAATTACTGCCGCAAACCCGTTCCATCTAGGGGGGTGAATGTGTCAGTCGTGGCAGCCGTGACAGCGTGCGTCTTGAGCACCGCGCGCGCGAGGCCCCAACGTGTACGCTGGCCTTACGGGGAAACGACACCGCCACGCTTAATGTAATTGACTTTTAATGATAAGTTCTTCCCTCCCTCCCCGTAAGCCCCCCTTAACTGGATTTATGATGAGATTAAGCGGTCGCCGCCGACTGCGTCTTCTTAAGCGCCGGTGTTGTCGCTCGCACGCAGTCCCGCTAACGGCGCGCCGTCTCGCTTCACTCGAATTAATCGGGACGGGGGCTCAGAGTCGTTCGTCGCAGACATTTGAGTCGTTTTCGCCGATGCACCCCGCCCAGCGGCACGGCGGGTAAAGGTTGGAGGCGGGGCGTGTGTGGAGACTGTGGCACTCAGGATTCCGCGCGTCACTCTCCTTTATCTCTCGTTAGAACTTTTATTCTGCCGGCCCCTGTCGATCCGACGAGGCGTTTTAGGCGAGAGCCACGCATCCGGCTCTCTGCAGGCGGCACGACTGCGCGATAACGGAACTTTGTCGCGGCCCTGTGGATGAACAGTGCAGCCAGAGTGGCGTGCCGAGTGCATTGTACTGGGTTCGGCGTGCTGGGTGTGGTGTGCTGGGTGCGGCGTGCAGGAAGCTGGGTGCAGGGGGCTGGGTGTGCTGGGTGTACTGGGTGCGGTGTGCTGGGTGTACTGGGTGCGGTGTGCTGGGTGGGGTGTGCTGGGTGTGCTGGGTGTGGTGTGCAGGAAGCTGGGTGCAGGAAGCTGGGTGCAGGGGGCTGGGTGCAGGGTGTTGGATTGCGGCGTCCTGGGTGCTGGATAAGCGTGTTGGGTGCGGTGTGCGGCGTGATTAGGATACGATGGCCCCGGCCATAGGAATGTGGAAATTCCACCACTGGCTCAAGTCTGTGAATAGATGAGCCTCGCCTTGGAAATTGGTTTGACTTTGACTTGTGTTTAATTTATCCAGGAAAGCTTCACCGAGTCTCAATACTGCCTTTCAGGAGGGTCCTGCTACTTTGGCTGTTTCGGTAATTCCATTTGCCACGAGCCAAAGCAGAAATCGGTACCACCTAAGGTAACAACATTGTAGCAGTGCCGATTTATAAATGTGCCTAATGAGTGAACTACTCGATTAATCTCACTCACTTCACGCGGTTATCGTATAAATCACTATTTACTGGTCTGGTCGAGACATTGTAACCACACCAGTTCGGCCACCTCACGTGTTACCGACAAGTGAGACATCTGGCCTGGGCTCACGGCCTACATTTTATTGAGAAAGTGATTCACGATCTCCTTACATGCGAGAGGAGCTCCACGTCACTCGAGCTCATGGCGCACAGAGCCCGCCGCAACGCGCTTCTCCCCACATCCTCCAACGAGCTGTCATTGCCCATTTGAGCAAGGAATCACTTTGACCATTCTTCTTCTTATTATTGTTGTTGTTGATGTAACCAATTTCATTGTTCCCGGGTTTTTGTTTACACCTCAGGAGGTGGCAACGCCACGCCCAGAACTCCTCCCAAAGTCAGGTGCCAAAAACCCGCGACGATCTTCAATCCCCTAGCGTCGCGCGCTGGGTGCATGGAGGGAGGGTGGATGGGGGGGGGCACGGGGGGGGGGGTGGTGGATGGGGGGCACCCACCCTGCGTGAAGTCAAAGGTCTCGACGGTGCTCACGAAGGTGGGCCGCGAGTAGTAGTTGTGCAGGCCGGGCTGCTCGAGGCCGCCCAGGCTGTAGAGGGCCCGATCGGCCAGCGCGTGGCCCGCGAAGGCCCGCTTGGTAGGCAGGTCCGGGAAGCGTGCCCACGTGCCCGCCTCAACGTCGTACACCTCGAAGGCCGTCACGGGGTTCTTGCCCTGCCGCCCGCCTGGCATCCCGTTGGGAGGAGGCGGGGTGGGCGGGGGAGTTGTGGGAAACGGAGGGGTGGGGTTGCATGGGCATTGACGGGAGGACGGGAGGCGAAGGGAGAGCAGAATTCGCATTGGGTGAGACTGGTCGGGTGGTGCGGAGGTCTGGCACCCGTGAGAGCCCGAGTTCCGATCCAGGATTCGGCCGCCTGGGCTTGAACCCAGCCCCAAAAGCCTGGGGAGTTGGTGGTGTTCAGGCCCGCGCACGAATATGGATACATAATTCCAGCTCTTGGGATTAAGAATATTAACAACCTTTAGGTGTCAGATGATAAAAAAAAATATATTAGTTTCAGTTGGAGAGCAGCCTTCTGTGTGGACCAGAGGTCACTTGAAGTTATTTCTGAGGTAGCTTTGTAGTATCTGTTTCCTTGCATCGTTCTCTATTTTTTTACTTGGTGGGTAGTTTTACTGTGAGGAATTGCCTGATTTAAGTTTTAGTTTTTAATCCGGCAGTTCCGCTATAGGGCAAATATACGTTGGTTTATACCGATTCTTGATTTTGTAAATTCATTTTTTTTATTTTCTGAGCGCCTCATTTACTTTATCGTCGTTATAAGTAGGCTGTCGCCACGTGTGTGATCTAGCATCTACCGTGATTGTCCTGCGTCACTGCGAGATGCGATACGCACAGATGACGCTGCACAAAACTTAAACGGTCATTATTATTACAACCAATGCCTCCACGAGAAAACTGCAGCCTCACTTAATGAAACCGTGCCCCCAGTCTCTCCGGCAGTCCGAGTGGGGGGCAGGCGAGGGTATGGGGGGGGGGAGGAGTCGATCAGATTTCTGGCAGACGGATTGCGACGCGGCCGCTAATTATACCGAGCCCCCCCCCCCACCCCCGCAACACGAAATTACAGCAGGCCCCCCACAGTCCGGGCAGAGAGAGAGAGAGCAGTCTGTGATGTGTTCACCTGCAACTAGCAGAGAGAGAGAGCAGTCTGTGATGTGTTCACCTGCAACTGGCAGAGAGAGAGAGAGAGAGCAGTCTGTGATGTGTTCACCTGCAACTGGCAGAGAGAGAGAGCGGTTTGTGAAGTGTTCACCTGCAACTGGCAGGCGCGCAGTCACGGGGGGTGGGGGGAGGTCTGGACACGCCCCAACAACTTTCAGAAATGTCTCAGAGACACCCGCAGGAATTTGAACAAAATAAAATTCCTGGCATTTCCGAGTCCGCGTTATTCTGCCTCCTTCTACGAGGTGACAGAGATGCTGGTTGTGCTGATCACCGAACCTTTACATTACGCAGTAGCGCGATCTATAGACTCGGTAGTGAGTCCCTCGCAACCAGTGCAATTATTTAGATTTACTGTCATCATCGTGGCAAAGTGGTTGGCGAACCTTCAGTTTCATTTTCTTTTATTAGGATTTACCCTGTGAGCCATTCGGCTCTTGATTTGGGTACAACCGCAACAAACAATAAAATTACAAGATACACCTAAAATTAACTGTACACAAATCTAAACATCACATACGTAAACAATAAAATCCTACAGAAAAAGCACAACCCGTCCATGCTGCGTACAAAAAGTGCAAAACATTCCATTTCGATGTTTGATCCCTATAACAATCATAAATAAAACAAATCGGGCCAAACCAAGCCCCTCTAAAACTTACTAAAACAATGCTATATAGACAACGTAACAGTTTTCCCAACAAATGTGATTAAAAGTTTACAATAGCTACACACACAACACACATCACTAAACCTAGCGTCCTTCGCGAGATGCATAAGTCAATCCATAACAGCTGGATTAACAAGGGCAGTAGCAGCGCACAATAATCAAAATACATAATAAGTTCATACATCGGTCATCCATAGCTATATTTTTTTATTTCAGGCCACCAGATAGCAGTGGCAGCTTTGGTTGTACGACTCCTGTAGAGCATTTTTGAGTGATCGTCTTGTTGGTAATGATCCAAGCTGGAGTTTATTTGCGATAGCATTCCAGACCCTGGGGGCATCTATAGCAAAAGCCCTTTCTCCAGTATTTGTACGGCAATTTGGAATGCGAAGCTGGTAAATGAACGAAGATCTTAGCTCATATTTGTTTTCCGAAACAATGAGGAGATCCAGCAGGTAATCAGCGGATTTTTTTGTAAGTACATTGTAAATAAATAATATCTGATGCACAAGACGTCGATCATTAAGAGATGTTAAGTTTGAAATCACCCTGGAGCCGAGCAATCACGTCATCAGGAGAGCGGCCAGCAGTAATTAGTATCGTGTCATCTGTAAAAAGATTTACCCTGGAATGATCCAGGTCAGTGCCTAATTCATTACCATAAAGAGAGAACAAGAGGGGGCCGATGATTGAACCCTGTGGAACCCCTTTTGTCATATTAACACTGGTTGACCTCCAACCATCTGTGAAGACAGTTTGGGTGCGAGAAGAGAGGTAATCTTTTAACCATTTTACTGAGTGTTCGGAGAAACGAAGTAAACCTAGTTCACTTAGCAAGATGTTGTGGTCTACTGTATAAAAGCTTTTGATAAGTCAAGAAAAAGACTGGCGCAGTACTGCTTTTTATCAAGGCTACCGTAAATGTGATTGAGAGAGTCTAATGCAGCGCATGCAGTGCTGTATTTCTTTTCGGAAAACTGATTGTTTATTCAATATATTGTTTTCCGACAAGAAACTGCTAATTTGATTGTTTAGTAAACCTCACGGAGCCCGCCTGCAATCTGACCCAAAAAAAACCGAACGGAAGCCACTCAGCAGTGCCACACCCGCATGTGGCTATCTTCCCTGCGTAGAGATCGGATCACTGGAGCGACCTCCTTTCGCTCGCACAGAGATGTCAGCGTTGGCACTGTGCACCTGATCTCTGAGCAACAACCAGCGGGAACCGTGCCTCTAAGTAGGTCACCCAAACGTGTACATTGCAGGCACGCGCCATCGATACCGACTCTGCAGCACAGCGATCGCCACGGATGTGAGCACGCGTCCCATGGCGCTAGCCGCGTCGCGCGGTCGGATCGTGCAGTAAAATTTAAACCATTTAGTTTTTTACTTTTACCAGGCAAGGCCCACTGAGCTATTTTGGTCTTTTTTTTCAGACGCGATCTGGCCACAAATGATAGCCCAACCATGTGGATCATCGTGCGGAAATGTACAGCAGACACATTTTCTAAACGCACATTGATTCTAAATGTGGAGGGGAAAACCCGGAGGACCCGGAGAAAAATCCACGCGGCCACGGAGAGAGAGAGACACGCAGACTCCAAATATACAGCAGCAGCAGGCGTCAGGGTCGGGATTGACCCCACGACCTCCTGTATATCAGGAGAGGTAGTTAACATGTCCTAGCCACCGTGATGATGATGAGAGAGAGAGACACGCAAACTCCAAATATACAGCAGCAGCAGGCGTCAGGGTCGGGATTGACCCCACGACCTCCTGTATACCAGGAGAGGTAGTTAACATGTCCTAGCCACCGTGATGATGATGAGAGAGAGAGAGACACGCAAACTCCAAATACACAGCAGCAGCAGGCGTCAGGGTCGGGATTGACCCCACGACCTCCTGGGCACCAGGAGAGGTAGTTAACATGTCCTAGCCACCGTGATGATGATGAGAGAGAGAGACACGCAAACTCCAAATATATAGCAGCAGGCGTCAGGGTCGGGATTGACCCCACGACCTCCTGTATACCAGGAGAGGTAGTTAACATGTCCTAGCCACCGCGGAAATGAGCCACGCAGCGACCGGTCCTGTGTGCAGAGATTGCCGATGACTGCGTGGTGGAATGCGAGCGGTCGGCCAATGAAATGAGTTCGAGAGAACATTTAAAAGTGACCGGGTCAAAGGAAAATTAATTTGCACAATTTTTATGTTTTGTATTACGATTGCACCATAAATAATGCTTGCTATGTAATGACCACATTCACACAAAAAAATCCTTCAACCCGAGATTTTAATTTATAAAGCCTCTGTAAGTGGTAAAATGAAAAAAATAAGTGGGGGGGGGGGGGGAGACCCCTCCAACAACTACGCACAAGTTTCTTTGCAATGAATTCCATTTGGCAAATCGAAAATTGAATCTCGGCTTGATAATAATGGTGACTTTTTTTTGGTTCATACAAAAGGAACCCATTACCAGCCGTCGACTCGTTTGCTTTATTTTAAACGAAGCCGCGCGCTGCACCGCCCAACCGGCCACGCATTTCGCTCTGCGCTCGAGGCCTGCGCCGTGGCAGACGCGAGGCGCGGTGCCTCACAATGAGCCAGTGGGACACACGACGCTGGCTCCCCACCAGTGCATCGATTCTGGGGATGGTGTTGATGATGATGATGGTAGTGGTGGTGCTGGCGATGGTGATAGGCGGCTTTAATGCAGAAAGTTGGCACAGCAGGGGGTCACAGCTGGTGGTGCATCTATCATTCATCTAAGTCAGTCAACCCATGGCACCTGCTGGCTCTGTCCCGTGACCTCCTGCCAGCAGCGAGCCTTCAACAATTCACGTCGCCTCGGAGTGCACCTAGCCTGGCACAAGCGCCGTGGTGACATCAACACCATCTTCGTGGTGAATGGCGGCTATTGTTGTTGATGCTAATGCCGACAACAAAAATAATGCAGATCACCATGTGACTGTGACATTAATTAGATGATGACAACACATTTACGATGATGATGATAATAATAATGAAGATGACGATGTTGTGACGATTATATGATTACAATGACGAATGTATGATGGTGGTGGTGGATCTAATAATGATAGTAATAGTTATTATGACAATGATAACAAGAGTTAGATGAACATCAAGCTCTTATGATGATGATGACGATGATGATCCTGCCGATTGTTATATTCGGAACACGCTTGCAAGTCACACTCTCCGCCACAGCTCAACGGGGTCGGATACCACGCGTGATTATTGAAACTTTATCCGTCGCGTTATTTTTTTCCCCCCGTTTTATTTTCGCGCGCTGCGAGTAACCCGACGAA